GATGATATCTCATACCACACATTCGACTTGTTTTTAGAGTTTTAAAAGTTTAGATACTACAGTAAAAGGCAAAATATAAAGGTACTAAAGTGTAATTTTACCACCAATTTTGGACATTTTTGTAAAATAAATAATTTTTAGGTGCTAAATTGTAAGAAAAATAAGTTTCCATACTAAAATGTAATTTTTTTAAACAATATGTCTATTGATGTGGGCCGACCCACTGACCCAGTCCAGCCTGTACAGGCTAAACAATATCAAAGGAGAATAGGGGGGTCAATTGGACGCTTTACTCTATAGGGTTAGGGTAGTGGCAAGATCAGAGTTGAGTTTTGTCTAATTTCACTCTTAAATTATATTACCACTAGGTCGGAATTTTTGGTAGAAGTCAAAGGAAAGAATTTAAGGATGTATAAGATTGTTTGGATATTCATCCGAAAATATAAAAGCTTGTTTTGATGAATACATAAGTTTCATCTGATGAGCAATACTATATATCATCATCTTACCTTCTTCAAAAAACAAGGGTGGGTGACCCTCATGTATTCCTTGTTCAATTTATAGATACACTATATATGAGGGCACTTTTATGTCAATGTTGCACCATCAATTTTTTTATAAATGGGAGCAAAGAGATTGTAGGTGTTAGTAGACGATTTTTAGACATTACATTATACATTTAATTATTTGTAAGCTTTATATATTGTTTGTTAAGAATTTACAAATTGTTTGCAAGCCATTTATAAATGAATTAATATATTATTATGTGCACCTCAAATCTGCACGTTATAGTAGACCACTACATAATATTTCCTATTCGATGAATATTACAATTTACAATGATATGAAAAAGTAATTGACCTAGGTAATATCACTAGTCTAGAACTTGTAGGTTTCAAGTTCGAATCTCTTATGGAGTAACTTAATTAAAAAAAAACTTATATCATCCTTATAATTCAAAAAATATTATAATACTCATAAGCACTATTACTTTATAGTACAAACTGAATTTGTGTCATAACGTTTATAGTAAAACAAGCAAAACATCGGCGTTTTACTTATCGCTATCATCTACAGTAACGTTTTTTTTTTCTTTCTAATGAATATTATCCAGATTCCATAGTAACTTGATTATCGCCAAACTCAACAGCTAATTAATGACTTGATAACGACTGTTTTTATCTAATTAACTGATTTATATCTATTTCATACCCATTAATCAAAATTTATACAGCTGCAATCCACTGGCAGCTCGGAGAAGAGGAATTTAATTTAGCTGGAGAAAAGGAGCATTGAGCTGGAGCAGGGGAGGCTGTTGCTTTCTCCGTCTACCCATATATTTGTTTAAATAAATAAATAATTATTAGTTACCCCTCTATAATTTACGCTTTAATTAATCAGTAAGTGTACATTCTCCAAGAATATTAACGAAAGAAGAATGGTTTACTTTTTTTTCGGAAGACACCATTGTTGTCCAGTCACCTCGTGTTTTACTAAGGGTTAATACCTTATTTTGTTCTGAACTATCATCATAAAATCAATTTTGGTCCGTGGTTTTGAAATTAACATTATAGCTTCAACAATGCAACATATAGACTCAATTGGCCCGACATATGGTTAATTTGAAAATGATAAGTAATAGAAATTAGGAAAATAATTTGAATTTGAATTTTTTAATAATTTTTAATTTGACAAGGCAATGACATGGCGTGTTGACTAACGGTTAATGGTGTTGACCGTCCAAATTGATGGTCAAACCATGTGTCGGACCAATTGAGTTTATATGCTACATAGTTGAGACCAAAATGTTAATTTCTGAAACCACGGACTAATGTTGATTTATGATCATAGTTCGGGCCAAAATAAGGTACTAACCCTTTTACTAAATAGAAATAGACTAAATATGTGATTAAAGAGAAACCAAGCAAAATAAGCTACGATAGGGCCCAAAATAGAAAAGCATATGGACGTAGCCAAAATAGTTCCAAGATATTCTAATAAATTTTCAGTTTTGATTTAAATTCTTCTCAAATATTATGTATAACAGATGTACCCAGATGTGATCCAAAACTCCAAATATATCAAAATGAAAATTAAATTAACAGACTCGGATGCGATCGACAATTGACAGATGTACCAGACTCGATCTTCCTCCCTAACAATGCTTCTCATGGTAATCAACAACTCGGTACATTCATCAAGTCCAACTCATATTAGGACTTGTCATGCTGAACCAGCTTAGTGAACATATCACCAACAGAACCCATCAGTACATAACCTTGTAAACTATACAACCACGTTTAACCTCTGTTTTCATAATCGGACCACAGGCTGAACCAGAAAAGTTAGTGGTTTAGGGTTCAATAGTTAACCGTTACAAAACCGTTGGTAAACCGTTGATAGAATCATTCATGATATATAACATACAAGACTTGTATATTAAACTAATTTAAGAATGAAGTTATCATTGATCATAAATAATTTTAAATTTATATCATCACCAAAATATCTAATAAATCATTGAAACCCTGTCACAGAAGAAATCATAAGTTTTTTAATTCAAGTTAAAAATTATGGTGCTAGTTGGTAGTGGATCACGTAAAAACGACAACAAGGTTGAAAAATGAGAAGACGTATATAAATAATAATCATGACTTGATGGTTTTAGTTTACATTAAAGTATTTTTGTAAAAATTTTGTGCTTAAAATAGTTAACTAGTGGACTAGTTAAACCATGGTGGTTCATCTGGTTTTATGTTGAACTGTGAAAAATTGTTTGGTCCATCAATAACCATACAAGCAATAAACCGGACCGCTATCATAACCGATTTGACGATTCTACTGGTCCATCCGTTGATCCGGTTTGGTTCTTATAACAATACGTTTAACTCTCTTTAGAATTATCTTGGAAACCTTATATAGACACTGCTCCACATTTACCTTTAAAATTGAAACTCTTATACATAAATTGCTATCGCATGCCTAGACGTTGCAGCTAAATAGTTATATTTAGTATAAATAAAAGTTTGGGTGCGTTTATGGTGTCTTGCAAGTCACTGTAGCTTGCACAATTCAGTCGACCTATTCCCAACTGTGGTCACTCTAATTTTGTACAAATGACCAACAACAGAGAAGTGGCCGATCTGAAATATTATTAGGTCGACCTTTGCTCTTCCTATGTCGACCTATCCAGCAGAATAATACCAATTTACCAACAAAAACATGTGTAATACTACCACGAACAATTGATAGGTCGACCAGACACATTGACCGGCCGACTTTTTAAGCACAACATAGTCTTACAAACAAAGCCAAAGTCGACATTTTGGATAAACAAGCAAAACAAACATAAACGGTTGACCATGATAAGAATTAGGTCGACCTATTGGGTTTGATCTTTATTAACTCGCAAGTACAGAAGTCCGAGTGTTGTGCCCTAAATTCAATTTCTCGCAATTGTCAAACAGAGGCCGACCTGATTGAAATAAGGGTATGTCGAATGGTCTTCTGGACACAATAAAACATCAAATTAAACAGTACAAATTACGAATTAGATAAAATGACGGCATAGCTAAAATAGGTTGACCTCACCTTTCATGTGGTCGACCTCTCGAAACACATACATCAGCAACCGCAAAGGATCTTCTTCTTCACAAAAGCTCTAACAATACAAAAAACCAAATTCAGAGTTCCGGTGGCGGTGGTGGTGGAGGTGACATATATTCGTATTTATAGATATTTAGGATGAGATTGGGTCAAATTAAGTGATAGACAAGTTAGGGTTACCTTTCTGGTGTTGGAATCCTTATCCAATATGGATACGGTGTGCACACGGTCGACCTCGTACTTGTCAGATCGATCATTTATACTATTTTCCTACATAATCCCGACTTTGATGTTGATTAGTTAATGAAACAGAGGTCGACCTTTTCACTTATGAGGTCGACCTTTTAATAGCAAAATGGTAGGCCTTTGAGATATTTGGGTCGATTTTATATTGTTCGCTTCCCAAAGAGGTTGACCATTTGCTGTAAAAGGTCAATTGCGTCGTTAAGCCTCAGAAAACTGAAACAACAGATTAGGTCGACCTAATCCTATCCGAAGTCGTCCGAAAGCTCAAGTTACGGTGACTTGCAAGTCACTGTAGCAAAGTCCTAAAAGTTTTTCTATACTTGATATCAAATCAATTTTTGAACATAAAATTTAAAATCAATTATAATTATAAGTATTTTTAATTATCATTATGTGTTCTTATAATTGAATAATTTCTTGAAGCAAATATATCTTATGAATTCCATGTTAAATCTCATTTTAATTCTTTGATATTATATTGTAGATGTTTCATATTAGTTAAATTTAGTAATTCTAATTCTCTTCCTATAGTCATATTTTCTTTTCTACAATTATTACTGAATGTTGTAGCTTTTATAGTTCATTTATTACTTGGTTACTTTCTGTCTCTTTTCGTTCTAAATGTTTTTCAATTACTGGAATATGGTTTACTCTAGTATATTTTAAGTGGTTTATCTACCCCAATTTAAATATTTATTATTATATTCTAGTATATTTTTATTTTTCTTAATATTCGTTTAATAATTTTACTAATTTATCCATTTTATTGAAAAACTTTTATTAGCCATTTTAGTAATAATATGTTTAGAAGGTTTTCTAATTTTTATATTAGATTTGATGGTGAAGCTATGGCTCTAACACGTCAAACTCTTTCTGATAGTTTGACGGTGTTTTCTAATGCTGAAACTACTCTCAAGCGGATAGGGGTTTGGATTTGTGGGCTATGTCTTCGTACTCACGCCTTCCGTTCTAAATGTCGGCATGATGAGAATGTTTTTGTGGAGCCTCCAGATTGTGGTGACGACCTTTTTCATTTTATTATTTTTGATATTCCTATACCTCCGGCTCCGTCTTCGTCGGTTCACTCATCTTATGCTAGGGTTGAGCCTGTGGGTTGGTCTATCTCTTTGCTTGATCGCTTGTTCTCTATGGGTCTTCGCACTGTGAAATCTATCCCTCCTAAGTGTCGACTTGGGTTTGCAAGGACTCTGAAAGGAGCTTTGGATGATGTGGGTGTTTCTCCCGGCGACCTCTCATGCTGGATTCGCTTACTTGTGTTGTCTCTCTGCGTGCTTAAGACCTTTTATCCGCGGAGTAATCTTGAGTGTCGGTCCGCTGATAGGCGCCTTCGTCAGGAGGAGAGTGTTACCAGTGCTATTATTGTTTGGGGGTCTGGTGGCAGTTTGCAGCTTTTGCGAGTGACTTTAGATGAGGTTCCCCCTCCGTTTTCTGTAGAGGAGGAGCTTGTTTCAGGTGAGCTCAACCTTTGGCAATGTCGGAGGAAGATTTGTGATGGGCATTATACTGCTGTTGTTCGGGTTCTTTCCTCATCCGATGTTGCCCCTTATTCTGATGCCACTCTTCTGGCCTTGCAAGATAAGCATCTTGTTGCCCCACCTCCCTCATTACCGACTTCGCCTGTGGATCATCATCCTCTTGTTGTCTCTTCAGCCGTTGTTTTGGATATGATTAGGAGCTTTCCCCGTGGTACATCTTGCGGGAGGGATGGTTTTCGTGCTCAACATCTTATGGATTGTTTGGGTGGTGCTGATGTGGCTATCTCGGATGATTTGCTAGCCTCTATTACTCGAGTGGTTAATCTTTTCATTGAGGGTCGATGTCTGCAGCCCCTTGGTGAGTACATTGCTAGCGCTCCGCTCACGTCTCTTGTTAAACCAGGGGGTGGTATCTGTCCTATAGTTGTTGGCACTGTTTGGAGACGTCTTGTTTCTAAGGTTGGTGCTTGTCTTGTTGGCCCTACTTTATCTGGTTATTTTGCTGGTCTTCAGTTTGGGGTCGGGGTTTCTGGTGGAGGAGAGGCTATTTTGGCATGCCTTGAACCGGTTCGTCGAGGCCCGCGGTGGTGACGTAGGTCTTTCTATGTTGCTGGTTGATTTCTAGAATGCTTTCAATTTAGTTGATTGTGGGGCCATGCTTTAGGAAGTTCGTCGTCATTGCCCGGTCCTGTCCTGATGGGTAGAGTTCTGTTACTTTAGCCCTACCCGACTGTATTATGGGATGCATAGCTTATTGTCTTGCCAGAGGGTTCAGCAGGGAGACCCTTTGGGCCCTTTGCTTTTTTGCTTTGGTGTTGCATCCTTTAGTGTGCAAGATCAGAGACTCATTCGATTTGAGTATGCAGGCTTGGTATTTGGATGATGGCACTATTGTGGGGGACACTTTGGTTGTTGGGAAGGTCTTGGACATAATTATGGCTGAAGGCCCTCGAGCTGGCCTTCATCTAAATGTGGGTAAGACAGAGGTTTTTTGGCCTACTGAGGATCATAGGAGTCGGCTTCCAGGTGTTTTCCCTGCCTCCATCGCTCGGCCTCCACACGGTGTCACTGTTCTAGGTGGTCATGTCAGTTCTTGTCCTGATTTTAGCAGTGAGATTGTGGCGAAGAGAGTTACTAAGACCATTGAGCTGATGGACTTGGTTGCTAGGATTGATGACCCACAGTGTGAGTTGCTTTTGCTTCGGGCCTGTACTAGTATTTCTAAATTCTACTTTGCTTTGCGTACTTGCTCCCCTCGTATTTGTGGGCTGGCCCAACTATCTTTTGACACAGTACTTCGGTCTAGTTTAGAACGTATTGTCACTGTTTCTCGACCCGGGTTTGGTGATTGGCAGTGGCGGCTTGCCACCTTCCCTTTTCATATGGGCGGGCTTGGGGTTTATGCTGCTGGAGATGTCTTGCATTATGTTTTTTTGGCATCTCGTTTGCAGTCTGCAGAGTTGCAAGCTAAACTCCTAAGTCCTTCTGGTATTCTATCTCCTGGCCCTACTTTTGATGACGCCCTACGCACCTTTAACGAGTTTACAGGTTCTGATCTCTTATATGACCCTAGTGGAGTTGCTACCCCAAAACTTATGAAGAAATTGGCAGATATGTATTTCACGAAGGTTGTTGCTACTTCAGACTCTGTTTTCTCGTTGACTATGCATCAGGTGGCTTTGTGGAAGTCTCAGCAGAATGCACACTCTTCTGACTAGTTGCGTGTTGTTCCTATTGGTGGGTTGGGCCAGACTATGAATGGGAGGACATATCATAGTGTGATTAGCTATCGACTGGGTGTCCTGTTGTTTTCGGTATCTAAGCCCTATCATGCTTGTTCCCGTGTCTTTCCTGGTGATGTCTTTGGGGATCATGTTGTGTCATGTGCTGGTTCTGTGGGCATTAAGCATCGGCAAAACCTCGTTCGTGACACCTTATTGGACATATGTTACAGGTCTTGGATTTCTGCAGGTAGGGAGGTTGATATCGGTTTGGTTGATGGACATGGCAGACCCCTTCGTCCTGCGCATCTGCTGCTTTATTCCTGGGATAGGGGGGCGACATGTGTGTGTAAATTTGACTAGACCTTCACCTCTGACTCAGACTGGGATGACTGGTTTTGTGCCTGACCGAGTTGTTGCTGATGCTGCTCAGCGAAAGTGTGCCAAGTACCGAGACTTGTGTATGGCGGTTGGTTATGGTTTCCTGCCCTTTTCTTTTTCTTTGCTGGGAGAGTTGGATACAAACGACGTGGCTTTGCTCAAGAGGATTCAGGAATTCTCCTGGTCTCAGGATGCAGGGGCTCGGGCGTGAGCGTAAATTTTAACTATATTTAGTTTTTCTATAGCTAAGGGAGTGGGGGCCCAGATTGTATCTCGGCTATCCACTAATTTTTTGTAAACCTTTGTTTGTTATGCTTCCACTGATATAATAAATTTATATAAAACTTGTTGAAATATATTTTTGAATGCTTTTAAAAGTGTTTGGGTACCAAAAAATAATTAAAAGTTTGGGTTGGATGGAAAAGTAGACGGATGCACATTTTGTCGACTTTAATGGTACCTGACACCCTATTCAAACTTAAGTGGTATATCAACCCCAATTCTCAAACTTAAGTGGTACCTGGGTATTTTACCATGAAATTTGTCACAATTTTCTAGCATCACAAGTTTATAAAATGCAGTGAATCAAAATATGTCCCATATTAGTTTGTTTTTTCAAATAAATTTTGTTGAAGATGAGAAGAATGATAATTTATAAAGTGGAGAATTGGGACTTAGGACTCACAACTTGTGGGTGTTGTACGCCGCCAGTCAGCGACGACAAAGAGCAGCAGGGTAGAAGGTCGGATCGATAGTGAATTGAGTGGCAAGGAGAAGCTTGTGGGTTTGTGGCTACTAGGTACTACTTACTAGTAGTCGCAACACGGAAGAGCGACAAGGAAGTTATGGACTTATGGCTGCTAGGAACTGGTGGTCGACTATCACGAAGAGCAGCAAGGCAAATGGTCGGTCTAAGGAAATGAGCGATGAGGAGAAGCAAATTTATAATCTGGATTCGCAATTTGAGATTTTTTATTGAGAGAAGAACCGAATGGCACATTGAGAATAGTTTGAGATGGATTGATTTTGTGGAAGGTAACTACTTTTTTCTTCTTCCATTGGTCCACTAGTTGCATTCGAGAACACCTCTGATTGCTTTTGCTTCATTGTGCCTCACAATACTTAATTCTACACATCTATCTATCTATCTATCTATAAAAATATTAAAGGACTTTCTGATTTTGGCCCATGCCACGTAATCCTTTCTCTACATACAAGCTATCCACGTCAGCCACTATATTCCTTCCTCCAACCGTCATCCCAACGGTTCTTTCTCCTCATCGGCCCATAAAAACCCCTTCGCAAACTTTCGGGCATCCAACCATGTGTCCGCCCTCTGCATCCTACCCATCGACCATCGCCATATGCCTCCGACGAGGCAACGATTTCCAGTCTTCTTCCCGCCAAAGGCTCCAACCGGTGTTCCAGCGCCCATATTAATCATGTTATGAAGGGTTTCGTTTCCATATGTAATTCTCCCCCAATGCTTCTTCCATTTGCTTTTTCCCTTCCCGTCGTTGCATTTGGTCTTTTTTTATGTTCCTTCCACTTGGATTTGACTTGGGGTTTTCCGTTCTTATGGAGATTTAAGTGTTTGGTGATTTACATTTGAGTGTTTGGTGCTTCTCTAATTGGGTTTACTCATTATTATTTGTTGTCCTTATTTCCGTGCATGATTAAGATTTAAGTGTTTGTGTCTTCATGCCTTATGTCTTATGTTTTTGTTGTACCTTAATTGTAAACTCATTGTTGCCTTCTACCACCGTTGTAGGTTACATTGTTTTTTCTTCAATCTCATATAATGTTCCTTAATTTGCTATACACTTATATGTTGTATGTTCCTCTTTCAATTTAATGTTCCTTAATTTGATATACACTTAACTGTTCTATGTTGAAAGACGTAATGTACTTTCTCTTCAAGTGGAGAAAGTGGGTATTTATGAATAGGTAACTTATCTAAACTTTGTGTATTATCATCAGTATTAATGTCTGTGCTAGAGTTAAAAATGATAATTAGCGATAAGTCGAACATCACTCAATGTTGTCGAATAAGCTTGCTCGCTAGGATTGGCTTTTAATTTGATGTATCAGTAATAGGAGATCAAGTAATTTTGACTTTTGGTAAATACAAAATATTGCAAGATTAAAAAAGATTAACTTAAATTAATTATTCTAAAATCATATATTAATTTTTTTGAATTTCATAAGCTTATAAATTTAGATCATATAAATTAGATTTTCCAGTTATAATTTATACACTCAAATTCATAATATATTGTAATTGTTTATCGATTCCTAATATAAAAAGTATCATAAATCAAACACACCCGGCCAACAGGCCGGGTACGAAGCTAGTAATATAATACACCGAAGAGAAAAACGGGAGCCCCATTTCAAATTTCCTGCAACGAGAGTGAAAGTAGGAAGGACATTTTGGTCTTCACAATTACTTTTTTATTCATTAAAAAGACACATACTAGGATTCGAACCATGTCCATTTTAAAGAAAAGCAAAGATCATAACCAATCACACTAAGTACATTTGTTGTATCTTTTTAAATCAAAAACATATAATAGCAGGGAGGAAAAAATCCTTCCCCCATTTCAAATTCCCTGCTCCATGAGCGTTTGTAGGAATGGTAGAATAGGGAGTGTCAATTTTTTTTATCTTTCCTCTGTGGAACGGGCCAACTTACCGTACACATGCGGATTTAAACGGGTCCAGGAGTGTCAATTTTTTTCTTTAAGCCCTTTTATTTCTCCGTGGTGATAAAAATATATATGAAAAGGCAAAAACAATACTCCTTTTTATTGCTAAAAATAAAAAATTTAACAATAAACTAATGCATGGTATCTAATGGGCTAACCGCTAACCATAAAATAAAAGAGTTGAATGGGCCTGACCTACGCGGGATTTCACCATCAAGTAAAACAAATGAACATCATTGGTTTGCCATTCTAAAACAAGCTATTTTCTCTGGCATAATATATATTATGCTATTATTTTATATCTTAGTGGCAAAAATATAATGTATTTTAAAGTTATTCAATGGTTCAACCTCGACCAACCCAATTAGTCCAATTTTTATCATTTCAAATATATATTATATAATTATTTGATATCATAATGATCAAATTATAGTGTATTTTATAGGGAATCGTTTGGTATTTGTTAGTAAAAAACTAAACAAAACGATCTATTTGGTTATTTTAAACATTAAAACTATCCTAAACATTTTCAGTTCCTTTTGAATTTTATGGTTTTATTCTCGAATAAGTGATGTGCAAATGGTGAATTGCAGTCATCTCTTTTCTTTCACTATTTTTTATTTTCAAATAAACAGTTTAAAAGTAAAGAATAATTAGAATTTGGCATGGGTCGGTCAAACATGCTGAATATCAAGTTTTGGCCCGTTTTGATCAAGTCTAATTTATAATCACATGGTTCCCTGATACCCGATAAAAATCTCAATCCAAACCAGTTTGGCAGGTGAGTCTGTGTTTACGACCATTTTCTAGGGATACGACAACGGCGATTCCTAACCCAAATCGTGTTGTTCGTTCTTGATTTCCTTAGATTTTATCATGACCTAACAAAAACCAGAAAGCACAATGATGGCAAGATGAAAGTTTTATAAAGCAAATTAATCAACCAACGGGCCGAGTAAAAGCTAGCAACGATTGTGAGATGCCCATTTCCCGAAAATCGACTGGATAGGCGATTTTTTATTCGATTTTCTGGAATTCGGTTTCTATAAAACTTACTCCACCTCATCATATTACCAGAAATAATATTGTTTCACAGGGTAATATGTACTTGATTTTGCTTCAAAAGGCCGATTTTTGATTCATTGCATCATTCATGTCTTTTTCCTACTAAAATTCACTATTTTTATCACGAGTTTCCCAAAAACACTATATACAAACATTATCAAATTTCATACTTCACCTTCCTCCAGCCAAGTGGTCGAGGCCACGCTAGTACCGTATAGCTCCCCTCAACATTATGAATGACTTATTTGGTGGTTAGGGTCTATGTGAGTTTTGTCATCGTCTACTGCCTATGCATAAGAGGAATTACGCCTTCTTGAATTATGTGTTGAATCCATGAATTCAACCCACAAATCTATTAAATTCAATTTATGATTCCACCCATTCATCTAATTTAACCCATGATCCAACAATCCATTAATTAAATTCATTTGTCACACCACAAAAAATATTAGCTCCATCTTCTAGTGAACAGTCAAGAGTGTTAATTGTGCAAAATCCAATTCGATCAGATGTTCCAAAGGGACTTAGTTGTGCAACATCGAGTTAGGCCTAAATTGAGCATTCCTACAACGTGAGAAAATAATAAGCATATTTTCATATCTTATGGCAAGTTTTATAACTTATTAATGGGCCGGGTAAAAAAAAATTTGGTTTTGAATTGACAATTTTTATATTTTTTACTATCAAAAATTTTTCTCATTTCTAATGTGTATGTCTATCAAATATAGCAAAGTATTATATAACAAAAGATCTGGATAGAAACTTCACGATGTAAAGTATTATATGACACATGTGAATGCTAAAGAAGTATTTGTAGATGATGTACGATAAACATCATGTATCATCAACCACTAACCTAAGCATTGTTCAAACAAAGGCTGGCAATTTTTGTTTAATAGTTGAATTTGTAGTTTCCCTCTGATTTTCTGCGATTGGTTGCCAATTTATAAGTTTCGCTCTCCTGAGCGGAAGAATGACGGATTCCGACTTCCCCGTGAAGTGAAGAAAAGAGGAGAAGAGCGGTGGAAGGACAGCCTCATTGCGCAATTCATGGGTGATCCGCCGAAGCCGGTGGCTCTCCAACAGTGGGCAACTAGTCTCTGGGGAAGGGATGGGCCAGTTCGGGTTTCCAAATTCGGCCCTCAATTGATGGTTTTCCAATTTCCCTCGACTTCCATAAGTCGATGGGTTCTCCGATCAGGCCCTTGGCAATTCCAGGGCAACCCTGTATTTTTTCGGAAGTGGTCACCAGGCATCCAGCCTATGCAACCGGAGTCAGAGACGCTCCCGATTTCGGTGAAGATTTGGGGGATTCCCCTCGAGTACCATTCAGTGGAAGGGTACGAGTGGATAGCCAGTACAATTGGTCAACCGTTGTGGATGGATCAGTCGACTCGGACTGGTGGGAAATTAGGGTTTGCGAAGGTGTGTCTGGACCTTGCTGCAGATTGCGGATTTCCAGATAAGGTGAAGCTCTATCCAGACGAGGACCCTTCGTTTGAGGTAGAGGTGGAATACTTGAATAAACCTATCATTTGTGAACGTTGTTCGATCTATGGTCATGATTGTGATTGGCTTAGCAAGCAGGGGAAGAAGTGGGTGCCTAAGATGAAGGCTGAGGAAGTAGAAACAGTTGATGGGGGTGCTGGTTCAGTGGAAACTGTGTCAGAGGTGCAGGTTGGTCAGTCACATGAAGGTTCAGATGTTCCCTCTGAGAATGGTCTAATCTTGGACAAGGGTACTTCTCTCTCCCCATCAATTGGGAGCTCATCAGTGAGTTTTGTGGATGCATTGAAAGGGCCATCAAGGAATCCTGGGAGCTCTTCCAAGCTTCTGCAGGTGGCTGCTCTAGTTAACTCACCAGAGTCCTCTGGGAGGTTAACTCAACAGTCAACTCATGTTGGGAAGGAGAACAACCCCTGGATACCAGTTGAGAGCCAGAAGTTGAAAAAGAAGCCTGATCCACCATATGTTCCCCCAGCAAAAAGAGGTGGAAAAGGAGGAAAGAAGAGATGAAGATTTTAGTCTGGAACACAAGGGGATTTAAGGATAGTAGTAAGAATAAAGCTGTACAGCTTATAGTCAATAAAAAACAAATAGATATAGTAGCTATTCTAGAGCCAAGAATAAGGAAGCAAGAGTCTGAGGATTTGATACACAAGAGATTCCCTGAATGGGGAAGTGAGGTGGTGCATAATTCATCTAGGTTGGGGAAAATATGGCTTCTGTGGAGGCAGGATGTCCAGCTCACTATTCTGGATAAGTCAGATCAGTTTATACATGTGATGGTTAATTCAGGTATTCCCTTCTTTGCTACTTTTGTCTATGCTTCTAATGAGGAGGTCGATAGAAGGCGTCTGTATAGGGATTTGGTTAAGTTACGAATTTCTCAGTTGCCTTGGGCCATTTTGGGTGATTTCAATGCTATTAATGACCCTAGTGAGGCTTCTAATAACCCTGCTTTTAATAGTAGTATGGAAGAGTTTAAAAATTGGCAGGACCAGTCTGAGTTTATTGAGCATAAATCAGTAGGTCCCTGGTTTACTTGGATAAACAAGCAATCACAAAATCCTATAGCTAGAAGGCTTGACAGGGTGTTTGTCAATATTGAATGGTTAAATAGGCTCTCTAATAGTGCAGTTGAGATGCTCGACCCCTCTGTATCAGATCACTGTCCAATCTATTTGGATACTGATAGTTCCCTCAAATCTCTACCAAAACCTTTTCGATTTTTCAAGTTTTGGGTGGCTCATCCGTCTTTTTTATATATTGTGAAAGAGGCATGGCATTCTGATGTCTCGGGATCTCCCCTGTCTAGAGTTTGCAAAAAGTTGAGGATCCTGAAGAAACTTCTTAAAACTCTGAATAAGGAAGTATATTCAGATATTAGGGAGAGGGTGAAAATGAAGGAATTTGAATTGATGTTTGCCCAGATGGAAGCCCTTTCCAACCCTTCCAGTGAGACTTTTGAGGCAGAACTGGTTAGGGGTAAAGAACTCAGGCAGTTATAGTTAGATGAAGAGTCCTTCTTGAGGCAGAAGTCAAAAGAGATCTGGGTTAAAGAGGGGGATTCTAATTCTCCTTTCTTTCATCGATCAGTCAAAGTAAGACAACAAAGGAACACTATCATATCATTGTTGAATGAGGAGGGTGAGAGGGTTAATGACACTGACTCAATGTGTAAGGTAGTAGTGAATTTTTATGAAAAACTCTTAGGGACTGAAGATGAGTTAGTTCAGGGAAGACCAGTTGACTTCTTCAGACAGTTGTTGAAGAGGAAACTTCAAAGCTCTCAAACGCAGGGATTGTGTACGCCTGTAACAGCTGAGGAAGTTAGAACTGTTATTTTTGGTTTCAAAGGAGAGAAAAGCCCTGGACCTGATGGTTTCTCAGCCTGCTTCTTCCATGTGGCGTGGCACATTGTAGGAGATGAGGTAGTGAAGGCAATTCAATACTGTCTTGCTCATTCTTCTATCCCAAATGAGGTCAACTCTACTATTTTAGCTCTCATTCCTAAGATCAAGAACCCTGAGGAGATGAATTACTTTAGGCCAATCTCTTGCTGCAATATTCTATACAAATGCATTGCAAAAATAATTGCAAATAGACTTAGTGAGTGTCTGCCCCATGTGATTAGTAATAACCAGACTGCTTTTGTAAAGGGCAGAGTCATTGGTTAAAACATTATGCTAGCTCATGAGTTGGTGTAGAAATATAATTGGAAGAATATTTCACCTCGTTGAATTGTTAAAGTTGACCTAATGAAGGTCGTTGATTCAGTAGACTGACAGTTCCTTTTGACTCTGTTAGAAGCTATGGGATTCCCTAGTTTGTTCTTAAAATGGATCTCTATGTGTATTACTACCCCTAGGCTAAGTGTTGGGTTCAATGGTGGGATGGTAGGGTATTTTGCTGCTAAAAAAGGATTGCGTCAAGGGGATCCACTCTCCCCTTACTTGTTTGCAGTGGCAATGGAAGTATTTACTTGCCTAATGGAGGAAGCTGTTTCAGAAAACAGGCTCCCTTTTCACCCAATGTGTAAAAGGATTGGACTTACTCACTTAATGTTTGCTGATGATCTTTTGTTGTTCTCTGATGGGTCAAATCTTGATCTTCAGTGCATACAGAGAGTCTTATCTGACTTTAGACTGCTGTCAGGGCTTAAGTCTAATCCCTCTAAATGTGAGCTGTATTGTGGAGGGTTACCCCAGGAATGGAAGGAAAGTATGGCTGCTTATGTTGGGTACAAATTAGGGTCTCTCCCAGTCAGGTATTTGGGTGTTCCTTTGATTTCAAACAAACTCACTGTTAAAGCTTGTAAACCTTTGATTGATAAGTTACTTAGTAGAATCCAAAAGTGGGGGGCCAAGCTTCTGAGCTATGCTGGGAAACTTCAGCTAGTAATGTCTGTTCTTTACAATTTAGTCCAATTATGGATGGTTATATTTGTGCTTCCTAAAAAAGTGATTCGAGAAATTGAACAGCTTTGCAGTAACTTTCTGTGGGGTGTGGGTTCAGGAGGGAAGATTAGAGCTAATGTGGAATGGGGTAAAATCTGCTTCCCTAGGAAGGAAGGTGGTCTGGAATAAAGAATCTTGTAAGTTGGAATCATGCTTTTGTGGTCAGGCATATTTGGGATTTACTAATGCAGGGGGGTCCCTTTGGGTTGCATGGGTGACAGAGTACAGATTGCATAACATTGATTTCTAGTATGCTACTGGTAAATCTGGCTCTTGGATATGGTTGAGAATGCTGAAGTGCAAAGAGCAGGTTCATGGTCATTTGTCTGTTATCAATGGAGTTGGTTCTTGGGATGGGAAGGTGCAGAAGAAGTTCCCTTTAAAGCAAGTTTGGGATTTCTTTCGACCAAAGCTTCCTGTTGTGAGCTGGTATAAGCTTGTTTGGAGTCAGCCTGCAATGCCAAGAGACCAATTCCTCTGCTGGTTAATCACCAGAGGGTACCTTACTACAGGAGACAAGCTTTTGAGTTGGGGTTATCAGGGGGACTTCAATTGTGCATTTTGTGCTACTGCTGTTGAGACCCTTAACCACTTATTTGCTGAATGCAGCAGGTACAAAGGCCTTTACTCCTGCTTGTTCTCAAAATTCACCAGCAGGATCCCTTCAAATAGTTGGGAAGTTGAGTTAAACTGGGCTGTGACTGCATTTGCTGGTCCTAGTGCAACTTGCAGAGTTGGGAGAATTATTTGGCAATCATTAATCAGTAGTATTTGGCGCGACAAGTGTAAAGCTAAGCATGGGAAGCAAATTTTGAGTTTGGAAAAGGTGCAGGTAAGGGTGAAATCAGATTTGGAAGTGTTGTGTGAAGCTGAGGATGTGGGAAAGTTCTTGTGATTGAGTTCTTATTACTCTGCTAAATTCACTTGGTTCTAAAAAAATAGTATAACAATGTTGCTTGTATAAATGTCCTAGTGGCAAGGGTTGTTGCCATAACAGTACTGTTTTTGATGAAATCCAACATACCATTCATAAAAAATAAAAAAAAATTATAAATTAGTTTGCTATTAAATAGTGAACTAGGTTTGGATTTTCAATTAGAATTTTTTTTTTGTTGAATTGCAATATTATGGCAATTCAAAAGCAATCTATTGTTACATAAGCACTTGGAGGATCCACAATTTGCCAAGTTGGACAACTTTTTACAAACAAAAAAATTAGTTATTAATGTATTTATGGAGCTATCTCTCTCTTCTTTAATATTTTCATTTCTTTTATCCAATTATTCTTTTCCATTTATCCAATTATTATTTTTTTCCTTTAATAATAAGTTACATGTTAATAAAATTAATCAAAAGCACATAAATAATATTTTTTGTCAAGTAAACAAGATATAAATAAGAAAACAGAGATTGATATATATATATATATATATATCACATTCATTTAAATAAAAAAATATATGATTAAACTTTATGAAGAAAATTTTCTACCCATTTTTACTAAATTGAATGATAAGTTACATTCTGATAAAAAAATTAAACAAACATACACATAAACAATAAATTTTTATCAATTAAAAAAAATATATATGAAAAGAGAGAAAATAAAAATTTGACATACAAGTATTATTTAGCAAAATGTCACAGTATAATCTTGATCGAGTAGTTACAGTTATTTATTTAAAAATATTTCTTATTCATTCAGATCATGTTCTACCTTAAACGGCTCAACGAAGAGGAATCACATGTGCAATAATTTTATAATGTGACATAAATTCACATTAATAATATTTGGTCTATCTCAGATAGGAGTTATCGTCGAGAATTATAAATCAAAATTTTCAAAATGACTTAAGTATGATTGTTGACTAACTTTGACTTCATACCCTAGGATGAGACTACGATAAACATCATGTTTCACCAACTACTAACCTAGGCATTTACAAAATAAAGGTTGACAATTTTTAGTAAGATGGTCAATTGGGATAAACATAATTAACCAGCAATCAAGTATTTTTATCCAATAATCTCAACTCTCAAAATTGGTTGCCAGTTCGTACAAACTCGAGAAACATGAATTGATATATGTTGTATAAGATAATAAATAAGTTAATGCAAATAATCAAATAAAATCTACCAATATTATTCAAAAGATAAGACATTTTAATTGCACTTGAAATATGTGTGTATTGTAGACACTCTTTATCAATTATTAATATATGTGATAAAATATTTGAAAATTACACATTCAACGACCATGTTAAGACCAAAATCTTCGATAGTGTGTGTGAATGTATTAGATTGAGATTCTAAGTCAACATAACAATGACCATGGGTTGAGGTATCGTCTAAACTTCAAGAATTAACAATTTATACATATTGTATAATATACTAAATTTAAGCGTCTTCGTAAAAAAAAATAACATCCAAAATGAAAATGAGTCGAGATTAGAGAATTTAATCATCATGAGGGCTATGGTGCGTGTCAAGTTTCAATATGGATGAATAAATTGATCCAATAATGAAGTATCTTTACTAAGAATTTCTCACTAAAAAGTCCTAATCTTTACAACATTGGTCGAGAGTTCGTCCAAACTCGAGGATCATGAATGTGTATTGGATTTCCAAAGGACCTAAATCTCAATCCCTTTCAAGGACTAAAGACCTATGATCACAATCATAGGTTCCAAAGAAGAATGAAAAGAAGCCCAAAAAAGCAAAAAATAACATGACCTCCGATAGGATGAACAAAATAAAACTATATCGAGCTATGATCCTGTCATCCCTACCCTTTTATTCTCCATAAAGGGGGCGGCGGGAGAGGATAAGAAATAAATAGCAGGGACTTAGGATTTGCCTCTTTATGTATTACATATTGAACGATAGACAACCCCGATGGTTGTCTGACGTTATGGGGGTAAAAGCAGGATCTCTATCCTGGGGATGGGGGATAGGCAAGTAGCACTTTAATATGAGTATTAGGCGAGATAAGATAGGTCTGACGAAGTATCTGGATAATTTTGAGTCTACTACACACATACACATATATATTTTTTGATAATCGAGGAACTTCATCCCCACGTGCCACTTTGTGATAGCGGGTCCTACTAAACCTGGGGGCCACCTGCATTCAATTCGACACCAACGGGGCTTCGCCCCCAGCGGCCTTATACTTTTGGGAACACCAACGGACCTCGCTTAGATTCGAACCTGGAATTTGCAACTCCCAAGCCTTCCCTATTGCGGCAGCTTACCGTTAGGCTATCTTACCTTTGGTGTATATATATGCATAATATCAAGGTATACTACACTTTTGATTTTACTCAAGATACGATAGAAGATAGGTATGACGAAGTATGTGCATAAATTAGATGTTAGAGAATTAGGGACTGGAGTTCACCTATTAGAGGTTAGGGTATAATACCATGCCCAAAAAAACTATGGTTAATTCGGGATCTAAATAGTAAAACTCAATGGTCGTATGATAGTGTAAATACAAGAATATAGCGTACTCCTGGCGCACGCTAGCTTGAAGTATATGTGTGTGTGTGTGGTTTAGGTTGTCGTACGTTGAATATTAGTGTTTTGGTTGACAATTTGACATAAGCTCTAAATGGGACGTGACAGCGATATAATTTATGATTAGAAAACCAAAGCATCACAAGTGACTGTGCTAAATATTGAAAATTTTCAATATAAACATACTAGAAACTCTGTTATACATCGAGAACACAAAATATCTATAATATACAAAATGATTTAAAAATATAAATAAGTTAATTAATATAAATTATAAAATAAATCTCTCCGGCCAACAGGCCGGGTAAAAAGCTAGTTTCTTACCAGGCTTGTTGACCAGAGAGTTTCATTATCATTTATATCAATTGCCACATAAACACTTGGAGGATCCACAATTTGCCAAGTTGGAAAACTTTTTTACAAACAAAAAAATTAGTTATTAATGTATTTATGGGAGCTACCTCTCTCTCCTTTAATATCTCCATTTCTTTTATCCAATTATTCTTTTTCGTTTATCCTTTTTTTAATAATAAGTTACATGTTGATAAACTTAACTAAACACATATAAATAATAATTTTGTTAAACAATTATACCCCAAGAAACAATTAATTTTTTCATCAAAATGTAACTTATCATTCTATTTTAGTAAAAATGAGTAGAAAATTTACTTCATAAGGTTTAATCGGATATTTTTTATTTAAACAAATGTGATATATGTCACTCTCTATTTTCTTATTTATATTTTGTTTGTTTAACAAAATTATTATTTATGTGTGTTTGGTTAAGTTTTTCAACATGTAACTTATTATTAAAGATAAAAAATAATAAATTAGAAACAATTATACCCTAAGATCATTTAATTAGAAACAATTATATCCCATTAGAAACAATTAATTTTTTCAACATGTAACTTATAACCCATCAAAATGGACTCATTATCAAATTATTGCACATGCGAATCCTCTTCATTTTAGGAATTTAAGATAGAACATAATCTGAATGAATAAGAAGTTTTTTTAATAAATAACTGTAGCTAATCGATCAAGATTATACTCTGCCATTTTGCTAAATAATACTTGTTTTATTTTATAGATATATACTGTATGAATAAGAGAGTGTTTCATTGCAACAAAATATAAAGTAATATAGTTTATTTTTCAAAGGTAATTGAATGTCAAATGTTTATTTTTCTCTTTTCGTATATATTTTGGTTTAATCGATTAAAACATAATTGTTTAAGTGGATCCTTATTTAATTTTTTCATCAAAATGTAACTTATCATTCTATTTTAGTAAAAATGAGTAGAAAATTTACTTTATAAGGTTTAATCGGATATTTTTTATTTAAACAAATGTGATATATGTCACTCTCTGTTTTCTTATTTATATTTTGTTTATTTAAAAAAAATTATTATTTTATGTGTGTTTGGTTAAGTTTTTCAACATGTAATTTATTATTAAAGACAAAAAAGAATAAATGGATAAAAAAAAATAATTGGATAAAAGAAATGGAATATTAAAGAAGAGAGAGGTAGCTCCATAAATACATTAATAAGTAATTTTTTGTTGGGTTAATACCTTATTTTGGCCCGAACTATGACCATATAATCAACTTTGGCCCGTGGTTTCAGAAATTAACATCCTGACCTCAACTATGCAACATATAGAATCAATTAGCCCGACACATGGTTTGACCATCAATTTGGATGGTCAACACTGTTGATCGTTAGTCAACACGCCATGGCATTGCCTCGTCAGCCTAAAAATCATTGAAATAATCAAATTCAAATTATTTACCTAATTTCTATTATTTATCATTTTCAAATTAACCAAAACAAAATTTAAAAATATAAGATAAAATTTATATTTTATTTTTTGGTATTTGAAAATGATAAATTAACCAAAAATTATCAATTTAAATTTTATAAATTTAAAAATATGATATAAATAATATATTTTATTTTTGTGTAATGTTAAATGTATAACATAGTTAGATAATTTTTGGTTAATTTATAAAATTTATCATTTTAAAATTACACAAAAAATAAACTTATTTTATGTTTTTCATAAATTATTTTTTGTTAATTTGATTATAAATAATAAAAAATTAAAAAAAAGTTTGAATTTGAATTTTTTAATGATTTTTAGGTTGACGAGGCAATGACATGGCGTGTGACTAACGGTGAATGGTGTTGACAATCCAAATTGACGGTCAAACTAGGTGTCGGGCAAATTGAGTTTATATGCTGCATAGTTGAGGTCAGAATGTTAATTTCTGAAACCACGGGCCAAAGTTGATTATATGGTTATAGTTCGGGTCAAAATAAGGTATTAACCCTTTTTTGTTTGTAAAAAAGTTTTCCAACTTGACAAATTGTGGATCCTCCAAGTGCTTATGTGACAACAAATTTTTTTTAATTGCCATAATATATAGTATAGAGATATAGATAACCATGTTTTAAATTATCAAGTGTGTTAAAAGAGGTAAGATACAAGTCCTCTGATTAGTATTAACCCTCATTTCTATTATTATTCATTAGATCCTCTTGCCAAGAAATCATCTATAGACTTTTTATTTCTTGTACAACAAATCAGAGTACGTAACGAGATTTAACCCAACAGAGTTCCGTTGTTGATCGTAACCGGCACAAACAGAACCTCGCCGACGTCAATAAAATCACTCGAGTTCCCCAGCAACTTGCCATTCAGCCGCTGAATCCCCTTCACATCGGACGCCAACATCGTCGCCACGCCGAACAACGTATCCCCGTCCTGAACGGTGTACGTCACCACATCCTCGCCGGCCGAACACCCGCACAACAGGTTCATCGTCACGCTCTTCCCGGCGATGAACCTCCTCGCCTCGTCCCCCGTCGGCCAGGCCTGGCCGCTGTACACCTCCGCCGACACGTTGGCGAACGTGTCGCCGGTTTTCACGGCGTAGTGGGTGTCGTAGAAGTAGGCGACGGTCCCGTTGACGCCCTGGCAGGCGCAGGGCACCGTAACGAGCAGGTCCTGGCGGTCGAGGTGGGCGATGGGCTTTAGCTGGGACGGGGAGACGGAGTAGTCGGCGGCGACTTGCTGCGGCGTGGTGTTGGCGGCGGTGGTGATGTGGTAGAGGGTGGCCGAGCAGGTGGTGGTTCGGATGGAGGAGCAGCTGAAGGGGACCATGTTCGTGTTCGGCTGTGATTCGATGGCGGCGGCAAAGGCGGCGAGGATGGCGACGAGGATGATCGGGCGGCGGTGGAAACAGTGCAATGTAGCCATGATGTTTGAAGCAGGGATTACTTGATTGATTATTAATTAATTACACTTGGACGATGGAGACTAATTATAAATAGGGATGTGCTATTGATTTCCGGCGATGGAAATAATGCAACTTATTCTGGGCTATCGATGTTCACGTACAAGGCAGTTGGCCGATGAATGCCCTTTTCTTGTTAATTAACATATTCCGCCAAAAAAAAAACATCTGTTCAAGCTGGTGGTGAAGAAAACAAAACCAATCTACTGTCATCCAAGCAAGGTTGTCAACCCGCGGGTTGACCCACTTTGACCCTGACCCGGTGAGAAAAACGGGCCGCACGCACCCGCCGGGTCGACCGCTATAAGGTACCGGGTTGGAGGTCAAATTGTATCATTTTTTTCCTTGTTTTGCGAAATGCGCCTATTTTCCGATTATTCTTTTTCGCCTAACTCAATCTTTGGAATTCTAAGTGTGTGTTAATTTTCACTATATGTTGAATCTAAGTACGAAATGTTATTTTGGTGTAATATTATATGTTATAACTCATATGTTAGATGAGATTTGGTATAATTTATCAGGATAAGTACAATATAATGACGCTTTCCATATTTCCGGGCTAAACCGGGCTAAAATGGGTGACCCATTAACCCTTGACCCACTAGCTCAACCGGGTCCGGGTCAACCCGCGGGTTGACAACCTTGCATCCAAGCCACTTTGTAAATGTCTAGATAACAATTATTGTGAAATTGTACGGAAAGTTATATAGAAAAAATTACTAATAAGGTAGTAGTTCAATTGTTTCGTATCGTTAAAATCTTCTACCATGTGGAATTCGATATCCTATATTTTCGACCCCGACCGACTCATATGGTTCTAAGTACTAATTATGAAACATTGCTAGAGACATAAGAAGCAATTATTCATATAGTAAAGCAGCATAAGCACTAATCAATTACACCAAAAACCGGGGGCTGAGATGGTCAATGCATCATGCACAATAAGACGACACATGAAGGGGACAAGTGACATGCCTATTGACTGTTGTATGTATACATGAATAATGGTTTGACTCTACTGGGTCATGATTTTTGTAGGTTTCTTCTAAAACTTGAGGCAAAAGGTTTGGTTGATTGCCCTTCCAAAAAGAATGAGAAATTCTTTTTTGTCTATAGTTTACCAGTTGCTGATTGCAGAAATGGAGAAGTCTGAGAGATATAAGCCATGTCAAGAGAGGGATGGATGGGTGGATGGATGGATCAAAGAACGAGGTCGTATCCAATTTCGCCAATAACCTTCCCCACTTTGAACAACATATCTGCAAAAACCCATTCAACGGTCAGAAGAAGATAGCTACGAGACCGGAGACCTTCAACCGGCACTTAAAAGTAAGAAATCAATGTACAATGTACTAGAGGAACTAAGGTTTACCTTGGAATGAGGAGTCTTCCATGTATTTCTGCAACAAAAATGGACGACTGATAATTAGACTATATGCCTCTAACATTACCAGAAAGCATATATATTATATATATAGTAGGGCAGTGGGGGTAAACACACGAACTTTACCGCAATTTGTGATTTGAGATCACCATCGGCATCAGCTACATTTGTGTCTCCTGCAGCTGCAGATGCCAACCATCATAAACAGTTCAGAAATTGGGACAAAAACCCTAGTAACACCCTCGGTGGAAACAGAAAATGCGGCAGCATGTCAACCTTGTTTAGTCTCAGAGCAGCAGTTGCTCAGCAAAGATGTAAAGCTGGGAGGCATAAAGGTACCACTACTGGTGTTGTTGTTACTGCTGGCGTCGTTACTGTTTTCGGACAATATTGGATTGTCTGCAGCATTAGTTATGTTCAAGGGAAGCTCAGGAGAATAAGTGTAGGTGGGCGACATGGCACTTGATTCCTCCATGCAATCCCTGTAAGCAGCAACAAGTCATTAAGAAAAAAACATCTCATAAGACATTGCACCAATCATTCCAAGTGAAGTTTGTGCTGAATTTACCTGGATAGTGGCATTGCAGTTGACAGACCTACAGAGTGTGTTGAAGATTCTGGCATGAAGTCACTAGTTGGAGGAGGCTCAGGAGCAGCAGATGGAGGATCCTCAAGAATGTCCTGCCAAAATCGAAATGTCCAAACGTCAGCAGGACATTCAATCAATCATCAATGACGATTGACAGTATTTCGAAGCTGCAAATCAAGCCGAAATTATAATGGTCTAACACCTTTAAACAACCGATGAATGTCTCAGATTCACTGGTAGTTAAGAACTGCAGAGCGAATTTCTGGATCTGCAGCGAAAATTAACAGGTGTTGATGCAGTTACTATCTCCATCGTATCTTATGAAAATGATCGCAGCAACTGTCCATTCAAGTGTCTGGTGACTTACCAACCCAGCAGAGTCTTTGAAACTAGCAAACACAGCTCTGGTACCCCTAGAGGGATATCCATTGACGCAGCACACCTGAGGCCAGGAGAAATACAGCTTCGAAACATAGTGCTCTTCCTGAAATCGATTCAGCAATTCTTTTAATCAGGAGAAAAGGGACCGATCCGTAGAGTAAGAGATTTAAGGAATCGGAAACAAGTTGAATACTAGAAGTCCATGAAATGGAGCTGAAATTGCGAGATAAGCTAGTCAAATCCTGGATTTTGCAAGAACAAAACTAGGCATGTGGTTGGCTATCAGATATAGAGACAATCATGATCAAGAAATCATCTAAACAGGAGAAGCAAACGATTTCAGCTCAACGTTTTCTGAGGAACCAAACAACACAGGGAAAGGTAAAATAGGCGATTGAATCATATAAACGACACAAGAATATGGATCGAAAACACGCAAATAGAAAACCGAAGCATCTAAATTCTTCTAGAACGGAATCAAGTGATTGAATATTTGAATCAGATGAAATTCAAATTTCAGTTCGTCATCGAAATTGTGAGGTAAGGAAGCCTAATCGTGAATTTTGCGCTGGGAAATTGTGGAAACAGTTGAGCTACTGAATTTGTATCTGTCTATCAAATTAGAAACAATCATGAACAAGAAACCATCACACAGGAGAAGAAGACGATTGCAGCTAAATGTTTTCTCAGGAACCAAACAGCACACGGGAAGGTGCTCTAAACCACACAATACTGATACGAAGCAACTGAAGTAGTCTAGAATGAGGTCAAGCGATAGAATCAGATGGAAATTCAAATTTCAGTTTACCAACGGAATCAAAACCATAAGAAATCCGAGACTCTCATCATCGCCGGTTGATGCAACAAACGAGGACTTCCAAAACGCAAAGAAGATCAAATTCAAACACAAATCGATCACAATACTCACAACTAATCTTCCTTGGAGATAGACGGAGAGAATGGCATCGGAGCAGGAATCATCGTAGACGAGTTGCAGAGTAGCAGTTGGAGAAGAAGAAGAGATCCAGGTGCCGTGATTGGCGGCATGCCTCTTCACTTGAACAAGACAAGGATGCAAGCTACCGAGAATAGTAGGGAAATGGAGGAAGCGAGCGAACGAGACTTGCCATCGCTCTCCGGGGACGGAAGAATCCGATCTCTCCGCCTCCTCGCTCTGGTGCAACACCACCGCCATGGATCCCGCCATTAGTTTCAAAATCTTTCTTCTTCTCCCCCAAAACTTGAAAAATACGAATCGATTTTGAAACGTTCACTTTGGATCGTTTTTATACTCCTGAAATGAGCCGGGCCTAAATTGGAAGGAATGTTGGGCCTCCACCCAGTCTTAGATATTGGATCCATAGGCCCATCTCACCGTCGCCTTATCCATCCAATGCCAATTTCACAACTATCAAGATTTGACTCTCTATTTTGCTGGTCCAACTCAGCGTTCCCCAATCGCCATAAAGATAAGGACGCGCCGTCTGGTGAGTGCATTTCACCGTCCAGTGACCGATTAGCTTTCCCCGGCGGAGAATTTCATATTGGCATTGTAAACGGGCAAAGAGCTTGAAGCAGTGAAGCAGAGCCTCGGATTCATCCTTGTTTGCTCCGTTCTGTAGAATCAGAGACCGCCATGGAAGTTCTGCTATGTCCGGAGCCTTCTCTCTCGATTCGGATCGCTGAACCTTGCCGCCTCAACCGTTTGAATATTCGAAGCTCTCTGCGATTTCCCGCTGAAATTGGAGGTCGTTGGATCGCCCGAGCTCGCCTGCCGGCTGTGAAAGCTGTTATAGACTCGGCGACGCTGGATCAATTAGGAATGACGGAATCCGAGATTAGGAATCCCGCGGTTTCTTCCACGTATCGGAGCTCGAAGTTGCCGAAGCCGAATCAGACTGTGCTGGAAGCGCAAGCTAGGGTTTGCACCGGACCTGAAATGACAAAGCCGCTTAGCGAGGAGCAAGCTTTCAAAGTTTTCGATACCATTTTAAGATCAGGTTAGTCCCACTTCTCTATCCGAATTTAACCGAGCTGCAAATTTTTTCTCCATTGTTGCTCAATTTCGGTGTTCTGTTGTATTATGGTTAGTGAGGGGTGAGCTCAAAGACGAAGACAGAGTTTCCAGAGCACAGCTCGGGGCTTTCTTTGCTGGAATGACGATACGTGCGAATGCCTTCCCTGAAGCTACTCAGTGGAGTGAAGGAGAAAAGCGTGCAATTGGCACGTTTTGGCCCCAGCTGGTCCGAGCTTTACCACCTGATGTGGTCTTCATTGCTGATCCTGAGGGCTCTATAATGGGGAGTTCGATAGGGCCGCAGTTTGTTGGCAATGATACGACTGAGATGAGATTGGTTGGTGCGCTTAGGGAGGTATTAGCTGGGGGCCATCTCGGGTACGAGGAGGTCCAAGGTGTGCTGAGAGATGTTCTTCCCTTAAATGTTGAAGAAGATGGCAAAGACAGTTCGAAAGAGTCGTTGGTTTCGGCATTCCTAATTGGTCAGCGGGTGAACAGGGAGACAGATCGTGAATTGAAAGCATATTGTCTTGCTTTTGATGATGAACTGGGTAAGCATTCTATTGTCTGACACTCATTTTAGAGTTATCATTCATGCAAGACTTTCCAATTAGCCATGTAGCCTTGGTTGCCTGATTCTACTATCAGTTGGGTATTAGGTCCTCCTCCAGTTGCTGATGTTAGATCATTGACCCATTATGGCGAACCTTATGATGGAAACACACGTTTCTTCCGGAGCACGTTGTTTGTTGCTGCTGTTAGATCCTGTTACGGTGAATCTTCATTGCTTCATGGTGTGGACTGGATGCCACCTAAGGTATGTAGCCTTTGCTTTTTTTTAATAAGTAGCCTTGCTTGATTCTAAAAGATTGTCATTAAGAAATCCTTGGTATAGTAAATTGTTGATTTGTTTCAGGAGGTAGCAAAAAAAAAAATTCCCCCCGCAAATTGCCTTCTTGGTGATTAGGGCACCATATGATTACAAATATCTGAACTTCACTTTTGAATAATCCTCGAATACTGCATTTAGACTTTACTTATCTAAGATGGAAATGGTGGCTTTACATTTTGCCATAGGGAGGCATAACTGAAGAACAAATGCTGAAGTTCATGGGTGCAAATACACACCTCACCCCGTTGCAGGCCAAAGATCTTCTTGAGGTAGGTGTAATGCTCAAATAGTAACAAGAACAATGATCATTCCTTTATTTCTGCACCCATATGTAATGCCTGTTGTGACAACATTTCAACTGCTGTTTTTGTTATTCCTGATTTGTCCGTTAGATCAGTCTGTTTTGTTTTTAGCACCCAGTTTTGTTGTACCACTTATATTCTAACTTCCATGGTTTTCATTCAGGATAAGGATCTTGGTTTTGCCTACTTAAGTCAGCGTGAGGCTCGCCCATCCCTGTACGGAATTTAACTGAGTATTTGTTTTGAACCTTTTCCTTTGTTTATGTTTGTTCTTCTCACTCCCATAGAGAAGGCCCTATACTGCAGGTTGCTGGGACAAAAACCCGCAGTGACCTTTTGTATTGCTCCCTCTTGCAGATATTCATTAATTCAGTTGAGGGAGCACATAAAAAAGCGTCCCCCGCTGGCAACCACAGAAAAGGTTCAACAATTAGTAAGGGTGAGCCATATTATATTCACTGTTTTTGTTGTGCTGACATATTCATATTCATTGTTCTTGGCAATATACCTTCTTAAGCAACTCTAGTTTTGTCATCTGTAGTCCATTTTGTATTCGTGCACCAGCTATAGATGTAATGCAGTGAACTCTTTTGCGTAATCCGTGCAGGCCAGTGGAAGAGAAGCAGTTGTTGCTGGATTCTATCATGAAGGCTATGAGGAGCCGCTTTTGATGCTTATGAGAAGAAGAGGTGTACATTCCGGTTTGGTGGTTAAGGTCAAAAGTCGTTGACTCTAATGTTTATTGACTTGTTCTTTCCTTATTATGGAAATGGTGTCTAGGCAGTGGGGAGTTTTGAAATGTATACCATGTAACGGATATGTAAACTCCTGTGCTAATATAGGGAGAGGAAGGCGCACTCTCTATGACAACAAGACTGAAGTCAGGAAATGCCTCAAAAGGACTTCCAGTCAACTACTGCTCAGGATTTCGCTCATCTACTACAGCATCTGCTCTTGAAGTCGACGGTTTGCCTCTTTTGTCTTGAATCTTGATCCATCTCCTGGAACTTTCCTTTCAAACGAGCCTCTTGCCATAGGTTTTGTTCATTTGCCACGTTATTCTCCCTGGCAGGTGTCTCACGTCAGAGCTTCAGCATTGTGGTCGACGCCAAGGATTATGGCTTTCAATCCACCGATACTCCAAGAACAGATAGATCAGTAATGAATTTCTCCTCCCTAGATGATTAATTATTTCGGTTCCCAAGCAACTCATGGAGTTCAAACTTATCTCAAGTGGTCGTGCATTTGCTTTCTTTGATTAGGTTTCCAAGAACATAGAGCTGGGTCTGGCAGCTCTTCATGGCCAAAAGGGACCTGCATATGATCGTATCGTACTAAATGCAGGAATGATCGATCACTTGCTGGGATGTGATGGTGCAGAAGATGTACATTCAGCCCTAGATAGGGCCAGAGAAGCCATCGATAGTGGTCGAGCGCTCAAAAGGTTCCTAAATTATATCAAGGCTAGTAATAAGATGAAATGAATGAGCTCTTTCATTAGCCTTTTGACCGGTGTAACATGTTACCTTCTTTCTCGTCCTAGATCAGAGTTTGAAAGGGAAAATCCACAGTTACATGTAATTTATAGAACATTTTCGTAGAATCACAAGAACATCGAAGTTTGGAGCAAATAGATGTTTATAAAGTTCTTCCAGCTTTTATTCATTGCACTCCTATTATTCATTAATCATTATACATGAGAAATATTTAAGGCAAACATTTATTTTTTTTTCTTGTACCTCTTATTGACATACACTCATACGCTGTTGAAGGAGAAAAAAGAACCAAAAACTTCATGGCAAACAAGAAACAAAAGCCTCATATATAGACGATGTTGGAAAAGCTTTTAAACATTAGGGTCAGATCTGAAGGGCTGCTGCTATCGAACTAGCCAGGCTAAGAACCTCAAACGGTTGTCTTTTCATCACTGCATTTACTGTCGATGGACATGAATCAGTGATCCAGAAATAGCTCAGTCCGGTAGCTGGATTACCTGTTACAATACAAGAACCGCCATTAAAAAGACAGATGCACCAGTAGTAATAGCATCAAAAAGAATCTTTATAAAACCATACCAACTGGGTGGCTGGTCTGCAGTCTAACCAGTAGAACCAGACCAGTATGATACCACAAGCAGTCAGGCACTAGATCATACCTGCACTGTCGAACTGAAAGCGTTCCCACGACTGATTAGGGAAAATACCGTGCGTAACATAAGCGCTTACTCTTGATGCTCCATGTTTGGCCAGCACTTTCTGGTTGGAGCACAATTTTTTATTTTTTTGTCAGTAAGTGCACCAGAACTTTCTTTGTTTACTTGATCCAGGTAAAGCATACAGGAACTTCCATTGAAACTCATCTAATAATGCTTGATCAAAAAGGTTGGCTGTGACTTTTACCTGACATTCAATCAAGGTGCCACCTGACTGAACCAGATCATCAACAATGACTACATGCCGTCCTTGAGGGTCTCCTTCCTTGATACGCACGATTCTCTGTTCACCTTCACGAACCTTGGCGCACACAATCTGAAAATCGCAGACAAAAGTTTTTAGGGTCAGCAAACAAACTACACGAACATAGAACAGAAGATTTAGAGTCCCTGGAAGTAGTATAGTACCGTGGGGAAATGCTGCAGTTGTTTATGAAACCTTTTCCACGCTCCATCATCAGGGAAAGCTATTGCTATCTGAAAAAAAGAAAAGGATTCATCAACTCATCCACCAAGTCGGTTTCTTCTGTCAATATTTAAGAGGAACATAGCCCATCTTCATAATCTTACATTATGAGAATCTGGAAGCTGTTGCAGCCTATTCATAAGCAAAGGTATCCCACTTTCGAAGCACGGCAGAATGTTATCCCCGAAGTAAAACCTCTCCTAAACATATATTCAAATCAGTACTAATTCAAAGAAAAGTCAAGAACTTTCATACAAGCCAAGCAAAACCCACGAGGCAAAAACTCGAAGCAGACAGACCTGCAAGGCATGGATATCGAAAGTCACCAAGCTAGTAGGCCCTCCTCTTGAAGTTGGTATATTGGACAAGATCCTAGCAAGAGTGAAAGCTGTGGCAACGTCTCCTTCATCCTCCATACGCTCGGATGTGCCAGTTGGGAAAAAGGGCAGGACGAGAGTGAAGGAAGAGATGAAAAGCTTGGGAAGTGCATAGATGATTGATAGCTGCTCAAATATCACCTTCGGCGAGCTAAATGATGCCAAGAAAGCAACATGCTGGCCCCGAATCCCTTGAGCGTTTGGTATAAACAAGTTTGGGAACCCATCATCAAATGTCCTATCAAACACCCACCATTTTTGTTTTTTTCCAATTCAGAACAAACAAACACAAGAGAATCTCCCAAATGCTTGTAGGAAATGTAGTAATCAACGACTTACCACTATTCTATTGCCACAGACAGGCACAAATTACCTAATTCGAATTTTTTCCCCGGAATTGAAGCTACCCACTAAAATTGATGGGAGGAACTGATAGAAGGACAGAGTACTCACTTCCAATTAATGGAACGAAGCTCGATAGCGTCCGACCGAGCAGCAATTCGCTCAGCCAGCGCCTTGGTCTCGTCACAGTAGAAGAGGCAGATCCGCTTGACGCCTTTGGACCCGGAATCCGAGGACGCAGTGGCAGCCATTGGAACGGAGGAAGGAGGTGAAGAGCTCTGGATTGAGTGTAACTGACCGGAGCCGGATAAAAACCCGACGGTCAAATTCTGTTGGTGGTAGTTTTGGTGGCTCTCAAAGCTCTTGATTTCGCAATAAACGCGGCTAGACCTGCAATTGCTAGTCAAGGACGGAATCGAATTGGTCCGATACGGCTTGACTTGGAGTTCGAGGAGAAGAGAAGAAGACAAATGTGAGCATTTGGAGGAGGGGCTGGGCAGAGGGAAACGGGTCGGATCGTGGACTGAGTAATGGAGCTGGGAGTTCGACGCCGCCGCCGCCATAGATAAGGAGAAAAAGGGTGGAGGTGGCTGATTTCTTTTTCTTCTGGGGCTGGCGAGGAACCGGGCTGGCGTTTTTTTCGCGTTGTTAGGCGTATTTCGAGCGGGAACGGCGGGTGGTTGTTGAGAACGGGGAGGAGTTGGGGCGGCGGAAGTACGGCGAGGCTGCCATCGCCTTGGGTCCACGACGGAACTCCAAGTTTCTGCATACTTGGGTTTAGAAGTGGAGTCGGGGTTAGGGAGGGAACGTGGATAGGACCGGCGGCTTTTTGGTTGGGTTGGGCTCGAAAAACCGTCTACTGGGCTTACGGCCTACTCTGTATGTAGTTATGTACCAATTACATTCCTTGAGAATTTATGGCCCATCTGTCAACGAAGCACAGAATGATCCCAGGTAGGCTAATATCAGGTGATTAAGGATATGACTAAGGGGTCGTTTGGAAGTTGCGAATGTTAAATCGTTGCATTGTAATGAATCACCATGATATAAATGTATGTATTGATACAATGGATGCATTTTAACAATACATTGTTTGGTTGTTGAGATTCTATTTTATGCATTGATTTACATAAAGTTACTTTTATGGGGAAATGTCATATTTACCCTCAACTTTTAGAATAAGACAAAAACTATTGGGGATATAAAGGGAAAGAAAAGGTTGACACAAATCTAAAACCAACAATCTCAACTTTTAGTTGAGATTGTATAATGCATCATTTTTTGTGATTGTTGGTGGGACCTACCTAAAACAATGCATGCATTATTTAATACTTTGGCACTTCCAAACATTGTATTGTGCATAATACATGTATTCAACAAACACAACTATAACAATCACAACTTCCAAACGACCCCTTATCAATTTCATTTATTCAACTTCATTAAAATTTAATATACACAATAAATAAAAATCAAATTAGAAAACTTGAAGTCTCATTTCAAATTTCCTGCATCCAGAGTGAAAGTAGGAAGGATAGATTCGTCTTCACAGTTATTTATTAACTTCTTATTTACAGGAAAAAATACATCAATAATGAGATTTGAACCGTGGTCTCTTCGAACAAAGATAAGAAACATAACGAGTTACAATAAACACATTTGTGTGACTTTTTCAATGAAAAACATACAAGAAGCTTAAATCTAAAAAATCTTAGGACTTTTCCACCATGGTTAGCAACTGAAATGTCATTGATTCAAATATTGCATACCGAATTGCACTCTTGAATGTGTAGAAGCGATGTAGAATTCTTAACATAAACTTAATTGTTATAACTACCATAAAGTAACAATATTTTTAAACACGGAACTTTTGAGCGAATATGGGGCACATGTGTCTTTAAGAGAGGGGTTAATATGGAAAGGTTAAGTGATGTTGGTTTGCCGAACACGGGTGGAAAAGACACTACTAACGTAAGCGAGCCCAAATAATGCCCCGATCCACTAAACGTTCAACCATCGTCGTCTCTCCAAACTTCCCATCAGACTCAACAGCCGGCTAACCTCCTCTGCCTCTATTCTTATGCTAGAGCAATTTAGATAGGTATGGAAAGATTGAGTGTTGTTGGTTTGCCCAACGGGGATGGAAAATGCGCTACTAATGTAAACGGGCCCAAATAGTATCCGCCCACTAAACGCTCAACCACCCAGGTTACTTTCGCTAAACCTAATATAATAGTGAAATGGGAAAGGTGTTTCCCCCTTAGAAAATCCTTGCATCCATAGAAAAATTAGGAAGGGTAGATTCGTCTTCACAATCATTTATTATTTTCTTATTTACAGGAAAAATACATTGGTGATGGGATTTGAATCGTGATCACTTTGAGAAAAGACAAGAAACATAATCAGTTACACTAAACAAATTTGTTTAAACTTTTTAAATTAAAAACATACAGGAAGTATAAATCTGAAAAATCATAGGAATTTTTCATCATAGTTAGCTAAGCCACTAACTCTCCCCTAAATATATTTTTGGTATTTGATACTTCTATTTTCATACTTTGATTATTTTAATTCAAATTTAATAATTAATTCTATTTCTATATATCTTATAAAAGGAGAATAATTTTAAAATCGCAAGCCTAATGTCATTGGTGCAAATATTGCACATCGAATTGCAGTATTGAATGTGTAGAAGCGATGCAGAAATCTTGACATAGACTTAAATAATATAACTACCATAAAGCAACAATATTTTTGAACATAAAAGTTTTGACTAAATATGAGGCACATGTGTCTTTAAAAGAGGGGTCAATATGAAAAGGTTGAGTGATGTTGGTTTGTCGAATGCGGACTGAAAAGGCGCAACTAATGTAAATGGGTCTAAATGGTGTCCCGACCTACTAAACGCTCAACCATCGCCGTCTCTCCAAACCTTCCCACCGGACTCGACAACCGCCTGACCTCCTCAACCTATATTGTTACGCAAAGCAATTTTCGGAGGGGTAAATATGGAAAGTTTGAGTGTTCTTGGAGAGCTGACTGGTGGATTGTTTAGCTTCTTTGACAGTAATGTGTGATCTCTTAACATCAGTTCATTTGGTTGATCTTCTAGGTTGACTTTTGAGTTGATTAAAGATAAATAGTGTTCCGGGCTCCCGACCTACAAAACACTCAACCATTGTCATCTCTCCAAACCTTCCCATCGGACTCGGCAACCGCCTAACCTCCTCCACCTATACTGTTACGCAAAGCAATTTTCGGA